ATTTAAAGGGTAATAAAATAATTGCTGATGTAATATTTTCCCAATAACTATTACAAAAACACAAAAAAAAAAGTATAAACAAGTATTTATATTTGTGTATAAGCTGTTTAGATTGTCAAAAAAGCCTGTGTTTTTAGGGTTATTAACAAAGTTTGTGTACTCAGACCAGTAATATTTGGGGTCACAAGTTTTTGCCATGGATATTTTGTGGGTCAGAAGATAAAAAGTTTGGGAACCACTGATACTGATAACTACCATACAACACTGACTGTATGAAAATCAGTAACAGGTTATTTAAGGTTACAGTGGGAAAAAAAAATGCACAGAATCCACTTCCCTGTGTGCGTCACGGGCCACAAGCTTGTTCCTGATCCGTGATTGGTCAGAGGTACCGGGAAACCTCCTCGTGACATGTCTGCCGGTATAAATACTCCGAGCGGCTCTCTGGCTGCGCAGCACTGGCGTATGAGGGGAAAATGTATCGTCTCGGCCAACAGTCTATCGCTAAGATCGCCTTCGATTCCCTTTTTTCCACTGTGCCACGGGAGCATTTTCACTTTACTAGACAATACAATAAAAGCTGGTCGTGTATTGGCTGATTTTGGGTCAAATTTCACTTAAATCTGCACGAAAATGCCAAGGACCAAGAAGAAGAATAGCAAGGGTAAGTCCACGCGCGCGCCCCGCAACGCTTTCGGCCTTGTTTCSGTGATGGGAGCTGTAGTTCTTTTCGCCTCGCCGGTGCATTGAGCTGAGCTCAACGTGTTGACAGTGCGAACTACAAATGCTTGGAAACCGGCTTCTTCCTGCACAACCTGGCGAGCCATTGTTTCTCAAAACATTATTGTTTTCTGCTAACGACAGGACTTCACACATATGCTAATAATTTAATTACGACCTATTTTATACCTATTTAGAAGTCCTTATAGTTTCTAAACTGACAAGCTTAAGCTAACATTAGCCACGCCTGACCACATGAATTTCACGTTGTTAGGTCAACATTATTTCATTTCAACATTTTTATTTTTAACTAGTAAAACTTTTTTTCCCCCTCTTTACTATTAACTGTTGCTTTTATAAAAAACACACTTGAGTTTTAGTGGGGTGTAAACAAGTAGCTCTGTCTGAATCGTGCGATAGTAATATTCTCTGTAGTTCAACCCCACATTGTCCTTTAGTAATAACTAGTATATACTGACGATAAACTAGTATTAMATGTAGATGTTTGATTTGTGTAGTGGTTGTGAGGACGCGTTGGTAATGCGGAAACTGTGTAAAAGAGGACATTTTGTTCTCCATGATGAACCGGGCCGGTCACAGCGGAGAGGCGCCGCCCGGTTCTCTGAACTCAGCTGTTGTCGGGGGACAAACCCCACGTCAACACGTCCGTGTGTAAACACAGATTAAACATCTGCTAACTGGATAACATATGAGCATTTTTAGCATGCTACCGAGTCCTAATAGTCACGTTTAGCCGAAACAGACGCAGGGATGAGCTGACAACAAACACGTCTTCCAAAGAGGTGAATTTAGGTCACATCTGGTCTGGTCTGGTCTGGTTTCAGCTTGGCCACCACCTGCAGAATAAAAACTACCTGAAATATCTTTGTTTCAAAACAAATCATTTCCCTAAGTACATTTTTAGGATCATAACTTATAAATTTAAAATTAGAGCAGGCTGCTTTAAAGGGATCCCCTAGTTGTAACATTAGACTTTATTTGATAAACATATATTAAGTCTGTAAAAATACTGTAGGCTGTTTAGTTTTTATCATTTTTAAACTAAAAGTTTATAAATCTATTACACGGACGGGGCCTTTTTATTTACACGCAAAGAATTCTGGGTAAATGATGATGTGGATAGGTCATCGGTGCGAGGCTGCTAGCGAGCTATATCCACCCTGAAGGTTAATCTTGGACAATATCTGATGATCGACTCTTTTAAATGAAACCAGAGAGCGTTGACAGAGAGGAGAAGGTAGAAATGACTCAGCCTGGAACTGAAAATATTGATCAGTGGTCCGCAATCTACGGCCTGCGGGCCGTATCCGGCCCACCTCCCCATTTGGTCTGGCCCCCAGAACAATACCAGAGAGCATTTAGGTTTTTTTCATATATG